GTAGTGTGTCCTGCCCCCCCCCCATGCCACTGCTGCCTGCCCACCCCAAAAACAGCCCCAGCCCAGCCCTCCTGCCAGGAAGAGGCCACAGTAGGCAGCCCGCCCACAAACAGGAGGAACACATGCCCCCCATGCCTCCCCCCAGGGTGCAGGGAACTGTGCCCCCCAGACAGCTGCCCATGAATTCATCCCGTGCCCTGCCTTGGTTGGGCAGAGCCTTCTTCTGCCTCAGCCCTATTCCCTCCCTTACCATGTGGGCCTCAATCCGCCACCCACACACCCCTTCCTTCTCCCATGCCCCTTCCCTCTCAGACTTACTGGCTGGAGGCTGCTATCCAAGCTGCTGGGCTGCATATCGGCAGTTGGATTGGTGTTGGCTGATATGGCTGGTTAATAAATCTGCCATCAGTATCGACCAAAAAAAATCTTTCAGTGCACCCCTAGTATTTAGTTTCCTTAGGCTCAGTCCGCTGAATCGTTTTGTAACTAAATTTGTTTGAATATAGCATTGGATCTGATTTCAACCTTTTTACAAAAGAAAAACTGACAATATAGGCTTTATTGCAATGTGATTACAAGACCCAGATTCTCCTATATTCTCCTATATCTGTTTATAGAATGTATGCGATGCAAAGGTTCAAGAATGTGTTTTATAGGTGGAAGCTTCAAAGAAAGCATACCATGCAGCATGCAAAGAGGAGAAATTGGCTACGTCCAGAGAAGCCAATAGCAAAGCAGATCCTGCACTGAATCCTGAACAACTTAAAAAGCTACAAGATAAAGTGGAAAAAAGCAAACAAGATGTGCAGAAGGTAAACAGGTACACATGCTTTACCCTAAGTAAATGGAAGCTAAATCATGGTGGTAAACCTTTTTTACTGAAGGTTAAGCTACTATGGTTCAGCTTCCATTTTACCATGGGGTAATATAATGTACATAGGTAGTACCAAAGTAATTTCACTTCTTATTAATGACAGGCTATTACATTTGAATTGAAAGGTGGTTGGCCTTGGTTAGGAGCAGGAGGGCATGCAAAACGCGGGCACATCCCTAAGGGGGTATTGCTAACCATAAGAATCCAATTTCACATGCATATTGGACCCATATATATATATCAGAATTGGAATCCATGAGACTAGCATGTGAAGAATAACTTGTTTTTAAGTAACCCTTCTCTCATTGCTCTGTTAACCTTTTTGATGCTATAGCCTCCAATTAATGCTTCAAACTCTAAATAAAATTAAACCTAGATAGCTCTAGGTCAGGGGTGCTCAACTCACTGCCTTCAGAGCCATGGCATCTAGCCTGCAGGGCTCCCCACGAGTCAGGAAATTTGGTGGTGGTGGAACAGTGGCAATTAATACTGCCTTACCTCCCCTGCTGCCAAATTCCCAAGCCATGTGTGGCTGGATCGGGGCTGGGCCCATGTCCCTTACCCCCATATGGCCGGATTGGACCCAGGCTATCCCCCCTTGCCACACTGGATGCAGCTGAATCAGGCCCTGCTGCACCTGCCCCATGTGATGAATCAGACCTAACGGCCAGACACGGCCCACAGACAGACCAACCACCATCCATCCAGCATGTGGGGCAGAAAGACAGTCAGAGACAACACAAGCAGGGTGCAGGGCCCAGGGCAAATCAGCCTGTGTGGGGCCCCATCCCCAGACGTCAAGAAATGGATTCGGTGGTGCGGAGCGGGGGCAGTATTTTTCGGTATTTATCTGTATTTTTATGCCTATTTTGTAGTTAGTAATATAACACATGGAAAAAGTAGTTTTAATCTCTTTTTAGACCAAAGAAAAGTATGAAAAATCACTGAAAGAGCTGGATAATGCTACTCCTCAGTATATGGAAAACATGGAGCAGGTATTTGAACAGTGCCAACAGTTTGAAGAAAAACGTCTACGTTTCTTCCGGGAAGTGTTACTGGAAGTTGAGAAACACCTGGATTTATCTAATGTTGTGAGGTAAACATAAAAGCAGCTTGAACAAGAAAAGTTTTAATTTTGCCCTTAAATACTATACATCCAACAAATTAGCATGTAGCATATGACTAAATTTGTTAACGTGCTGCTTAATCAGGTAGTGTATCTAAAGTTTCTAATAAAAAAATGTAAACTTTTTCCATCAGGTTTAGTCTTGTTCAGGATAAAACATTAGTATGGAGAGCTCGTGTAGTTTAACATATAGTGACTAAGATTTTTTTTTTTTTTTTATTCCACTTAAGTTGTCAGAAATTGAACACTTGCCAATTACCTGGAAATCTTGAGTGTAGAGTATAAAACTGACAAACACAAGAAGGTCAGATAGGCTTGGAGGGGGGGAGGGTCTGCAAATATGTTAACTAGCTAAACTAGAATTCAAACCTGTCTTAATATTTGCTCATTGTTTAAAAGAGTAAGACTTTGGAGTAGGGCTATCAAAACAGTTTTCCTAATTGAAATAGGTTACCGTGCTAGGTAGCTGTGTGTGAGAGAGATCAGCCCAATGTTGTTTGGGATCTTGCCTTCTAAGGACTATATTTTATTCCTTATTCTTGTTACTGTTAGATTTTTTTGTAGATGGTGACAGTGTTGCCCTGTCAATGGCACACATTTCACTTATGGTGCAATTAACATTTTAATCGCACCATAGATGGTAACAATGCTACACATTCAGCCAATCTCTGGCACCATAAAATGGCAAATTAATCACAAAGATATTCCACAAAAAATATATAGAACATTTTTGTGGCTGGTTTGCACGGCACAATTAATTGAATGTGTAGCATGCCTCCATGCAGATGCTGACAGATTCATAGTTTCATAGTTTCTAGGGTCGGAAGGAACCTGAGTAGATCATTTAGTCCAACCCCCTGCCATGGCAGGAAAGAGTACTAGGGTCAAATGACCCCAGGAAGGTGTACATCTAGCCTCCTCTTAAAGACCCCCAGGGTAGGAGCCAGCACCACTTCTCTTGGAAGTTGGTTCCAGATCCTAGCCGCCCTGACCGTGAAGTAGCGCCTCCTGATATCTAGCCTAAATTTACCCTCTGCCAGCTTGTGACCGTTATTCCTGGTCACTCCTGGCAGTGCTCGGGGGAACAGGGACTTCCCCAGTGCCTGCTGGTCCCCCCTGACTAGTTTGTAACAGGCCATTAGATTACCCCCTCAGCCTTCTCTTGTGGAGGCTGAACAGGTTCAGGTCCCGTAGCCTCTCCTCATAAGGCCTGCCCTGCTGCCCCCTGATCATGTGAGTGGCCCTCCTCTGGACCCTCTCCATG